TGCTCTAGTGTGGTAGTATTCAATTGAAAATTTGAAAAGTACATGCACAATTATTATTGTTACCTTTGCTGTAGAGAGCCCAGATGACAGTCAGAAAAAAGATCAGCTTCATAGTGATGTTCAGATGAATCCTGTTTGTAAGGTCTCCTGGTTTTGATACTAAAACTCAGGAGTCCTGCTATACTTTATATACTCCTCCTTTGACATCATATAACAGGTGTGTTCCCATGTTTACAGCGTCAAACATCAGGGAACGATTTCACAGAATCGAAAAACAAGTTAACACACCCTTAACTCACCTATTCATGCATACCAGAGTATGAAAAGAGAATAAAAGGTAATTAAAACCAAACATGTGATTAACATCATAAAACACACTTTGAGAAAAGAAGCTTCTCAGCTCTGACCTCCCTGTTGCAGATGTCAGGTCTTAAGTGTTTTGTTTTGTTTTTTTTTAACAACTATATAGACCCTTTTTTTAGAATTTCTTCCCCCATCATCACAAAAATAGAAAGGATTCCACCCTTCGGTCCTTACGCATTGGATGTAGTTGAATTGAGCAGCTTGTTAAATCATGGCATCACCCTTCATTACAAAGCCTGTAGACACTCCCATCTCTGTTTTATAGAAACACAAAAAGAAAACAAATGAAGTAGAACACATACCAAACAATTAATACCTTAAATGAAGTCATTTTCCTTTTTATTTTCAAGCTTTTCAAGTTGAGTTAGTTACAGCACTACATGTGACTAAGCTAAAATTGTATTTTACGTACAGTTGCATCAGGTCTGGTACCTGAAGCAGATTTTCACTTTTAGTACATTGCTGCGCAGTCCACTAAGCACAAAGAAGGTTGCATATTACCCATGTTTAAAAGCACCATTGTGAGGGAAGCTTTTTTCAAAAGAATTAAGAATTAAATTAGAACTATCTGATTCATTTCTTTAAGGAAAAGCAGGAAAAGTAATGCCTACAGGGTTCGAAGTTTTTGCGCTGTTTCTGCGACTGGGATGTCAATGCTAACTGAGGAGAGGAGTCAGCTACGGTGGCTTGAATATCTTTTTTGGATTCCCCATCAATGCCTCCCTTGGGAGGTTTTTGAATTTTTACACAGTAGATCATAATATTATTATAGAAAAACTTGAATATTTTATAAGAATTAAAGGAACGGTACTAGACTGGTTTAAATCGTATCTGTCTGATCGATTTCAGTTTGTTCACATTAATAATAAATCTTCCCCAAGCTCCCAGGTTACCTGTGGAGCACCACAGGAATCAATGCTAGGACTAATTCTGTTTAGCATATATCTGCTCCCAGTTGGTAGAATCATTAGACGGCATGCGATTGATTTCCACTGTTATGTTGATGATACTCAGCTATAAATGTCTATAAATCCAGATGAAACTTACACATTACAGAGATTACTGGCATGATTTGAATACATGAAAACCAGGATGACTCTTTAACTTTATGTTTCTCAATGCAGACAAAACAGAACTTATAGTCTTTGAACCAGAGTCCTTGAAAAACTATCAGGAAGTCCAAAAACTGTAGTTTAAAGCCTTCAGCTGACCAAAAAATGCTGCAGCCTGTGTTTTGATGAAAATTAAAAACAGTGATCATATCTCTCTTATCCTGGCTTCTCTTGCTTGTCTTCCTGTTAAATCCAGAAAAATCTTTTAAAATCCTCCTTCTCACATATAAAGCCTTAAAAGGCCAACCTCCGTCTTATATCAGAGATATGATTTTTCGTTATGTTCC